CCCAAGTCTATATATATATATATATATATATATATATATATATATATATATATATATATATATAAGACCCATGATTCAGAGTTATGCTCGTAGATACTTTCTAGACTTAGAAGACAACTCTGAATTCCTCTTATTCAGAGTTAACTCCAGAGTCTAGAGTTATTTTTCAGTCTAACAATAGAATTCCGAATTCTTGTGTCATTAGCCCGTGTAATACACGGGTCCAAACCTAGTGTGTATATATATATATATATATATATATATATATAAGACCCATGGAATTGTGATAACTTTAAAAACTAGTACATAATTTGTTCATCAACTAGTTTATTAGCTACCAGCTACCTTATCTGTCACTGTCATCAGCTAGCTAATCAGCTATCAGCTAGTTTACTCACATAAAATGCGAAGTAAAGTTTAATATTCAAATATTGAGAACATGAATAAAACTCTATTATTCAAAACACCAAAAAATGGATAAGTTCCAATATACCAAAACTATAAATTATGAATGCATTCCATACCCAAAACAACACCGAAACATATATAATACACTATCCAAAAGCAATACATTTTAGTGACGGGGAAGACCCATATCTATTGAATGCGGCGAGCACAGAGTAAGTCATACGTCAACATTACCGAGTTTCTCTCAAAGTCAATGGGCTTCATATACGACTCTTCCAAGTACCACCGCAAGACTCAAGCTTTGTATACGACTCCAACGAGTACCACCATAAGCATTAGGGTGACCATGATTCCTACTCGTCTTCTAGACGAGCCTCACACAAAAAAGTCAATAGTCTCCATATGCGACTGATATACATATACAATTGCGAAACCCTAGCTTCGTATATGACTCATATGAGTACCACGACAAGTTTTCCCAATCATTGACTTGGTGACCGCTCACTAGAAATTATTGCAAGAACATTAAAACTTCTTGCTTAAACAATAAACATCGACCCATTGTACCTAGAGTCCGACTCTATGCAAGTTCACCTCCGCAATACTAGATCACATCGACAACTCATAGATCCGGGGTCTGATTCTAAGTGAGTCTATCTTCACAATACCCAGAATGGCATGATAAAACTCATATGCCTATTGATCTAATGCATCACAATGTAAATTTACATGACTCCAATTAAATGACCAACGCACTCAAAACATGTAATTCTCAAACAAAATGCAAAAAATGCAAATCGTGTCCAAAGTTCAACATTGAGCAATTTAAACCATAAAAATATCCCCAAAACTCAAGTAAGCCAAAAAAAAAATCGAACCAATAACTCCATGCTTGTTTGACTACTCAAATAAAAGTCAACATAAGCAATAAAATGCATTTAAACAACGTTTATATAAATACATACTCCAAAAGTATAATTAATTCAAAAACCCATCGTTGACCGGGAAAAATCATACCATCTATATTTTCAAAATATCTCATAACACAATAATATGTATTTTTCAAACGGTTTATAAAACCAAATACACTAAAAGGGTACTAATTATCAAATAATCTTCTTTTATATAATAAATCATCAAAAGAATACACTCTTACGATTTATTTATCAAAATGTTCAAAACCCCCAAATATAACCATTTCACAAGATCTTATAAAATCAGATCTACCGCAGTTGCAAATTTCATCAAATAATCAACGCATTTGATAAACATCAAGTAAAACACTTTAAGACTTCAAAATAAACATTTTTGACATGTACAAAGTTTTCACAAGACAACTTGAAATCACTTTGTCAGGTTAGGTTCAATCTGGATCTCCAAACCCAAACTCTAGCTTCCATTGG